GTGGAAAAGCATTTCTACTACCTGTTTCTTTTTAAGTGAAACCTTTTCAAACTTTACCTTCATGGAAAGTTTAAAAAGAAATATATGGAGCAGACTGACTTTAATAATTAAAGATTTAGAATATGTATTAGCACAGCCATCTTCGCACAATTTGGCAAATTATAAGGAAAAGCATTCCTATTACTCATCTTTTTAAGTGAAACCTTTTCATACTTTGAAGGTTGAAGGTCTTTTTAAAAGAGGAAATATGTGAAGCAAATTCACTTTAAAAGCTAAGTGGGGTAAGGATTTAACAATATTTGTATGTTAGCGCAACCACCTTCACACAATTTGGCAAATTATACAGAAGAAAAGGTATAATGACTTATTGTTAAAAAGTTACTTACACAGGCATGTATATTTTACACCTTAACTAGGTATTTATCTCAAAATACTATAAATAACTATACTTACAAGCAGTTTTTCATTCTTTTCTTCTGGTGAAAATTTTTTTGGTAGTAGCTTTGAGAAGACTAAAACCACTCTTCTTCTAATAATTTTGCGGCAAATTACGATGTTCCTGCTGAAATTTTACTGCAGCTTTTACCTATTGTAGGCTAAACTTACAAAGCCATGTTTTAAAATTAAACCTTGAAACAAAAAAAAAAAAAAAAAAAAAAAATTCACAATTGATCCATAAAAACTGTTAGAGTATAGAATGCATATGAAAATATTGACGTTGATTTCTAAATCTGAAAAATTAAAACTAAAAAATTGTTACGCACTTGGTTGCCAGAGTTTGGTGCATTCTGAACTTTGATGATTCTTTGGTGAAAACTAAGGTAGTTGTGATAACATATAAATACTGATTTAACTTCATGATAAAGATCTTATTGTCAGACTCCCCCCCCCAAAAAAAAATTGCCTACATATTACAGTCAAAAGTCTTTAATCTGGATGTCCATAATCCGAAATAATCTGTAATTCGGACCTCAAAGCTACAAAATTTCTGCGCATGCGCATATGCATTTACACATGCACATCATACCTTTATGCATGCGCATAATACGTTGATGCATGTGCATTTAATGTATAACAGACGGTATAAGTTAAGCTAAAATTATCCATTTCAGTTAACGTTGCAGATTACATTGTTCCTTAATCTTCTAATTGGATCTGCCTTATTATTTTTTGCAGACTGTAAGAGCAATTTTCAAATGGTAAGCTGAACTTTCGATAGCAGAAAGATTCGATTTGGAGCTGCCAAAGGATCTACAAAGCGAAAGCATATTCGATGCAATCAACAAAAATGGAATTGCTGCCAAAAAGTGGATAAAAGGCATATCTTGTTTCTTAACATCCGAATCTATTTATCAATTCACGCTGCTCTCGGGGTGGGGGGGGGGGGACGTTGCGGCGCGCATATGAACGGAAGTTATCTGTCAGTGTATCTTATCTTCAGGGCAGATGTTGTTAGTGGCTTGTAATTCCTACTAAATGTAGTTTTCATTGATGTACTCCTTCTTTGATATGATTTAAATCAATTCCTCGTCATATACATATCACAAAATAAACAATAGTTTTTTGCTGCAATTTTATATTCGACTAGCTTAATGTAGCTTCGCATGCGCGCGTGAAAGAAAGTTTATAAAGTAACAAATATTAAGATATTATTTGTAAATTTTGTACCCTTAGATATAATGCTTTTATTCATAATTATGGTTTATATTTTAATTTATAGTTCTGCAGCCATCGTCCAGATTTAAACTGATGATCTATAATCTGAAAAAAACGATAATCCAGAATTGCCGAAGTGCCGTCGAGTCCGGATTAAAGACTTTTAACTGTATTTGCCTTAATTTATTTTAAAATTAAAGGGGGTCCAACAATCTGGTTGTACTGAGAATTAAGCCAATACCAAAAATTGTATCTCAAGTATTCACATATTTTACAAAATGTTGGAATATGTAGTGCCATTATTATAACAGTGCTATTCCTCATTGCAGCTTCTTATTTTTTGAATAATACTTACATATAAACCACCTATGAAACCTTGCATATGGAATGTTTTTTATAGAATTTAACAATCTTTTTCAGTAGTATAGCTTGCTTATACTGGCTTACTTTCTCGAGAGCTACTAAAGTTTCAGGTGTACATTAATAAACCTAGAAACATTAAAAAGTACAGGAAAACAATGTAAGAAATAACTGCAAATAATTTATTTGAAAGAATAATATAAAACCTGTATAAAAAGCTGCAGGAGTGTTGTACTATAGTAATACTATATGGTGACTATGTCTTTTGCATACTTTATACTAAACAGATAAATCTGATAACTTTCCCATCATTACACCTTGAAGTACACGATCTAGCAGTAAAATTTTTGATTTAAAACATAAATAAAAAGGGTAACATGGAGCCTATTTCACATTTTATTTTACTATTATACATAATAATGTTTATCATTTTAACATCAGTTAATATTACAGATAATATCATCCAAATATTTGCCATCACAAAGTAAATTTTCTTGAAGAATTACCTAAAAGTTTTGTAGTATGTGTCTAGATATTATCTCCATCACTGTTGCAATTTCAAAATAAACAGCATCTTTCAATTCCTGGCTATACAAGTCTCCACACTGAAATAAGTTGCCTTGGAAATACTCCTCACAAATCTTCCCTAGATTAATTTGCCTTATGTGGTGCAGCTCCATTTTGTAAAACCACACAAGTGCATTTCCAAGATAATTGATATTAGGTTGTTTGAAACTTTGTAACACCTTTAAATACTATCACAATAATTTACTGATTGCTTACATACAGTGCGACAAGCCAGAATGACTACTTGTTTTACCAAAAACTTTGGTTCCATTATTTCAATGTGAACAACAATTAACGATCACATGGATATACAATAGCGACATAAATGTTAAACAAATAATATAATAATTTTGAAAGGAACAATAATTCCAAATACAATCCTAAAGTAAAAATAGAGATTGATAATAATTAATCACTTGCAGATAGATTATTACATCTCATGTAAAACGCTGCTGCATACATTATCCAAAATAAGGCATGTTTTTTAAACACAGCATTTCTGTGATGATAGCTGTTTTCTAAATCATGGTATGAATCAAATTAGGACTTGCACATTCTATGGGTGGAGGAAGTTCTTCGTATTTAAAGAAAATATTGATCATTATAAAAATAGTGTTTAATATAATCAGTTATATGCTCCTATTGTTACAACCTGTTGCCATCTTTCAGGTAACATGTAAATTCCTGTTTAGTAGAAGTTGTCGGCCTTGGAGTTAAAATAGTCAGCAACTGTCTTAGAAAAACTTTTAAAAGACTTGAAGTTTTTTCCTGTTAGATAATCTTGCAGACATCTGAACAGGTAATAATCAGCTGGTGCACAATATCAGGTGAATATGGTGGGTGACTAAGGACTTCCCATCCTAACGCATTCAGTTTTTGACGCTAATGCTGGCCTTTTTTCTTTGATAGCTGCATTCAATCCAGCTGATTGCAGTACAGATCTGCGTTAATGGTTTTTCCTGTTTCAGCAACTCGTAGTACACAGGACCTTTCCTGTCCCACCACAAACAAAGCAGAGTAATTTCATTGGGATACTTGGTTTGGAAGTTGTGATGATGTTCTGGTTTGCAGTAAGTTTTTTTCTTTATGATGAAGCAAACTCTTCGACTTTCTCGACTGAAATGGTGATTATTTCCAACATGGATCGGGAAACATCATATCGATCTGGATGGTCGTCCAGATCGAACACTTTCTTTGAGGCTCAGGTCCCGGAACGAAAATTACTCAAAATCTGTCACATTCGGAACATTACAATATCTTTTCCAATACCGCACATAAATTGTACATGCAAAGATGCGTTGCTCCTTTTTGGAGCTTTCAGTAAAATGCAGCTGTGGTAAATGCACTTATCTACCGACAGTTTTCCCTTAAATATACAAGTAAATGATGACAGTAAAAAAGGGCCCTTTTATACAGCAGTTAAAAAAAAAAAAAAAAAAAAAAAATCCGAGATCACTAGCAGATGTTTTTTATTTACAAGAAAAATCACCTGCCTATTTAAAATACACAGAACTTTCGCTACAACCAGATAGAATGGTGCAAGTCCTAAATTATGAATTCATATACCAATGATATTAGAAAACAAAGCTATCAGCTACTATGAAATGCTGTGTTTAAAATAACATGCATTATTCTGGATAATGTAATGCAGCAAGCGGTTTTAACATGGAAGAATGTAATAAACTATCTGCAAGTGATTAAATTAATTATCATATCTCTTATTTTTAATTTAGGGATTGTACTTTGGAATGTATTGTTCCTTTCAAAATTATTATAATTATTTAGTTATAAGCATTTATGTAGCTATTGTATAATCACAGGTGAGTAGTTAATTTGTTGTTCAACAGTTTGAAATAATGGAACCATAGGTTTTTGTAAAAGAACAAGTAGTCATTCTGGCTTGTCAGCAACTGTATGTAAGCAATCAAGTAAATTATATGTGATAGTATTTAAAGGTGTTACAAAGTTTCAAACAACCTAATATCAGGTGTACGAGGCGTATCAGTACTTTTTAGGGTTATAAGAAATGTATTAATATGACAGAAATGTATGTAAGGACTTTCACATTTACAGGTGAATTACTACTCAAGAACTATTTTTTGTTTAAATAGGAGGTTGTGCTTCTGTCCTAGAATAACATGCTGATTGACTTCCTTATTTTCTTCTGGTTTCATATTTTTATTTTTGGCAGACTGAAATTTACCAGCTAGATTTTATAATCATGAGTTATTTTTCGTTAATGTAAGTTATATATGTATAATTTGTTATGTAATTATGAGTTATTTTTCATAAATGTAAGTAGTGTGTATATGTATATGTAATGTTATATATATATATTATGTAATCATGAGTTATTTTTCATAAATGTAAGTACTGTGTATATATATATGTATGCATATTTATTTATTTATTTTCAGAATGTGTAAAACCTAAAGAGTTGGAACTTCTAAAAGATTTTATAAATGAAAATCTAAATGTTGATTCTGCTCTGTTTCAACAACAGTTGTTATCTCAGTTACGAATGCTGCTTGTTCGAATAAGAGACAGCTGTGTACAGGAATATCATTTGAAATCTAAAAACACAGAATTTTCTTTATGTGTTTCACAGTTAGGTATAATTTTATTTCTGATACATATGCTAATGGTAATAAAAATGCTTTGTTTCAAAAACTTTTTTAAGCTGATCTGTTTTAAAATTTAAATTAATAATTAATTTGACTTCCATTTTATAGAATTTGTAGAGTGGCTTGCTCAGACCGCTATCAAAAATACTTTTCCAGGAGCTTGTTACCAGAGACGTCGACTTTCTCTTCAAATCCTTGGTATTTTGTATGATGTCTTTATAGTATCACCTCTTGGAATTAAAAGGAAAGAAAAACCATCTAGTTAGTCACATTCTTTCAATAATACTCTTTAAGACTTCTGTGATAAGTTAAAATGATAAAAATGTTGCTAAAAACTTTTTATTAAAGACTGAAAATGATGCCCCTTTTTTATTTTACTAATACACTGTACAATGTATCCATTATGTTCATAAATGTTGCACTCTTTTATATGCATATTGATATTGTTTTTGCACAAAATAGTTGTTTAAAAATATTACACTTTTTCCCAATTCAGTTTTCTTTCAAAAAGAGCTAAAACGTTTCTAAACTGCATTTTTTAGAAATCTTCATACCTACTTTGTTAATTTATTGTACCATATTTTAATATATGCATAGCAAAGTGGAATTCTTTAAGGTAATTTCAGTTTTCCACCTTCTGATTTGCTTATAGTGATGCATTATAATTAAGATACTAATTTTCTTGTGAAAAAAGGCAAAAGTCACCATTGAAATCATGATGTTTTTCTGTATAATTTGTGGCTTATGATTTACATCAAAAACTTATCAAAAATTCTGGAGCCAAGAATTTATATCAAAAGTTAAAAAATATTTTAGATAAGAAGTGCTAATAAAAATAGTTACTATATAAAATAATGCATTAATTTTTTAATGTGTATCTTTATCAACAATCAGATTTTGTCCATGTTAATGCACCATTAAATGAGCTTTTAAGATTTTCATAGCATTTCAATGGTTTACAATATTATCTGAAGTCCCACTTTCGAGACATTAAAAATGCAAATTTAATTTTATCAATCAGCCAAATAGAGAGCAGGAGATATAGAACTGTCCCCCTCTTTTTTGTACAGAATGTACAATGTATCTGTTGTAAAAAATAAAATAATAAAACGCGCAATAGCATTAAAAGCTAAATTTTATTTTGTTATGGATGCTACTTTGGTAGACGGTTGACGGATTTTGACGTTTTTTTTTTTTGCGAGTGATAAGACTAGCTTAAAACCCATTGATGGGAGTATATGATAACAATACTTTGTTGTCATTATTTTTAAAAATGTGTTTTATATGCTATATTCCATGTTTAATATTATTATGCTTCAAATATAAAAAATCAATTTAATTTTGCATTTGTATTGAAATAAAAATTTATTGTTTATGATATTTAGGAATTTTATGTGTGGATGATGTAATGAATGATGTCACATACTTTAAAAGTAATTGGTTTTAATATCTAAATTAATCTAATGTTTTAAACTTATTTATGGCTGTTAATATAAAATTAATTAAATTTTGCTTATTTTAAATGATTTTATTAGTTGATTATTTAAATAATTTTAATTCTATTCGTGATGTAATCAGTTTCCTGATTGGTTACAGAATATTTGTGCATTAACGAGCTGTAATCAGCTCCCTGATTGGTTACTGAATATTTGCGCACTACCGCGCCATTTTAAAATTTTATTATTCATCTCTTCGAATTCCTTAGATTAAATTTTTAGAATTTTTTTACACATCTTTTCAAATTTTTTCCCTTAGATTACATTTTTCAAAATTTTTTCATCGATATCTAAATTATGATTCCAATTTTTTTGGGGTACTTATCAATACACGACAGTGAAATACTAAAAAAAATGTAAGTACATATTTTTCTTTTACTTAATAATTGTTTACTTCAGTTTTTATTAAAAAAATTAGTACACTTTTTTCAAAAATTGGAGAGATATTTATTGTCACATATGTTTTAATGCCACATATGTTAAATAATTATATCCTATAAAACTTATTTTAAAGGCTTGGAATTTAAGTAATATTGTAGTTCTTTTAAACGTTCGTATGATGTTTTAATTTATACTCATTAAGTAATATTTTTAACTCTTTTAAAAGTTTTTGATGTTTTTATATTCGATATTCATTTAAGTAATATTTTAATCCAATTAAACATTGGCGCAATGTTTTTATAGCGTTGCTTATATTATATTTCTTTGCTATATGAAAGTAATAATTTAACCTTACTTTAGTATTTTATACTCGTAAATGTATTTATTTACATTTGCCTGCCAACTTAAAAAATGACATTTTCAACCAAAAATTAAACCATCATTTTTAACGATATTTATTTTTTTAAAGTTTCAAATACTTTACTATGCGTAAAATATGTAAAAACAGCTTTTTCCAAGATGGCTGACGACTGTAAAAACCGCGCCAATGTAAATCGTCAAAAATCCGTGCAACAGTCTACCGAAGTAGCACCATGTTATGTTTTGTTACAAGTCTGAAAGTGTCAAAAAGCTGTTAAAATATAATGATAAATAAAAAGCAGAAAAAGACAAAAATATTCCCAATAATAATAAAACTTTAATGGTCTTTGTCACTATTCTTCTTGCAGCTTTCTGATCCCATTGTCAGCTACTGTATGATGTTATTTTTAAAAGTCTGTGTGCTAAGTCGATATGTATTAGATGCACATTTAAACAACAATGATCTGCTCTTTATTAATCAAATTCTTTCCTTCTCTAAATGAGGTTGGTCTGGCAGTCATGAAAATACTGCCAGATTTTCTTGGGTAAATGTATCTTGTCTCAAAAACACGTATGAAGGGAGATGCCTTGGCTTTTCGTGGGTCACAGATGATAAAATGCTAATTAATGATATTATGAAGGTTACTTTATCTTTTCTATTATGCCGCTGTAGCCTTCATTTGAAACACATTCATTACAGAAGGTAGCTTCCCACTTCTTTGAACTCCTTGGTTTGATCAGTACCTACTCATATTACATTCAATCATCTTTTTTTGCTTGACTTCAGTTCTTGTTATTTTTCTGACCTGTAGATCCATTTGGTTCTTCTTCTGATGTGCTTCGTTGTTTCGAAATTTCGATCATATGAGCAGGGTTGCCACGCTACCGGGAGAACCGGGAAAAGTCAGGGAATTCGAAAATTGACCAAAATATTCAGGGAAAAGTCAGGGAATTTAAGTATTTTTGTCAAAATCTGGAAAAGTCAGGGAAGTTCATACAACGATCCCGCCAAAAAAGCGATTTTTGCGCCGACGACTCGGAAGAGGTAATTTTTGGTGAATTATATATCACGTGAGTGTCATTCGGGTAGCTGGCATAGAGCCAATTTTCGCAGCTCCAATTTGATTGTCTTTTAGAAAGGCAAAGCAACTTTCCCGCAACTGTTGGTTTCCAATATTCTCGAGAATTGCATGTGCAGTGCATGAACTAAAGAAAGTACCTGTTCTCGTATAAAACAAAATGGGTTTAATCCTAGTATACGGTACCATGGAGGTTAGAATCAAAGAATATGTATGTAAAGAAGGAAAACCCTCTCTGCAACAGAACGTGGCTGTGGCTCCGTTTCCATCATAGAGGGAAAACAGCTGTGCATGTTGATATATCTGTCTGTCGCCAAAGCTCGAAACCGGGTGTCGAAGTTCGAAGGTCACGTTATCAAGAGTTCATAAAATGAATATCGTTTAAAATTTCTTTAACCACTTAACCACTTGCGCTAAAAAGACGTGGCCACGCACGTCAAGATGCTTTTTTGTCTCAAACCGCGAGCGACGTGAACACCACGTCGATAAGCATTTATCGCAAAAATGAAATAACGTGGTGCAAACGTCGCCTAACAACGAGATTGTTTATTTCTCGAGTTGCAGCTCTGGATTGCACTCGCAGATGCGGAGCGGCGTAAATGAGACACTTTACGACTTGTTTATATTGTAGCGAACGGCAACCGCAACTGTGAAGTTTAGTCTTAGCGCAAGTGGTTAAAACTCTAAAGGAAAAAAATATTTTTTGGCGCAAGTAAATTAATTCATGGATTAGTTATTTCAGGAAAAAAAAAAAAAAAAAAACTGCGAAAGTCCGTTTTTAAAATTATTGCGAAAAATCCAAGAAGAAACGTCCTTTGATAAAACGTTTCTTCTTGGATTTTTCGCAATAATTTAAAAAACGGATTTTCGTAGTTTTCTTTTTGTTAAAGAGCGTTTCTTCTTAACACGTGTTTCTCAATTCCTGTACACATCGCGGAGAGGGAAATGTTCTGGCTGCCAGGTTCCGTCGCCAAATCCCTTGGCAAATTTCCTTCCGCATTCTAGCTTCGTAATAGCATTTTACTTGTATGGAACCTTTTTCTTCTTTACATAGACGTTCTTTGGTTAGAATAATAATGGGATTTGGCGACATCTTGATGCGCAGTAAACGGGTCATTTGGTCTTGGCGACAGTTTTTCAAAATCGTGCCAAAGCCTTACTGTGTATACTAGAATTTTATCGCAAAAATCTTTTTAAAAAACCTTTTTTTTTTTTTTTTTTTTCTCTTTTTAATAAATACCTTGCCATTTTGCAGTAAAATAAAAAAAAAAAAAAAATAGTAATCAGTCATCTAGGCTAGCCATGTAATATAACTATATTCACTAAATATCGTTTGATTATTCTAATTCAATTTTAAGTAATTATTTTTATGTTATTCATATAATTTAATGTTGCTTCTTCCCTCTAAATTTATTATTATTAGTAAATAATGTTTTTACAAATTTCAGGAAATTTTCTCTGGCATAATCCTGAAATTAATTATAGCAGTATGATGACATACCATCACAAAATTTAATGCACATATTTTTTTCCTTATGTATGCTGCGAAGTAAATATAAATACCTCAATTTATTAAATAGATTTCTTTCTTTCGTTTAGCTGCAGAATGTCTGCAAAAAAAAAGCCTATTTTTATTCCAGATTTGGGAAAATTCTAATCTCAATCTTCAGTGGGAGAAAACAAACAACTATTATAATATATTTGTGTTTTCAAGTGTTAAGGTGCCTTTTAAGAACCATACCTCATGCAAATTAAATTTACCTAAATCTAACCTAACTATTTAGCATTGCGTTGTGATTTATAAGGACCCGGATTAGCCTCATGTTGAATGGTGATGATCATGAGTAATAATTAAATAAAACATACATTTGTTATCCAATATATATATCTTAAATTTTATTAAGTTTCTTAAGTGGAAAACTAAACAAAATTATCAAACAAAGTATACCAAGAATAAGTAAGAATAAATGTCCCCTGGGACTTAGTGAATAATTAAGTGAATTTGCTACACAATACAAGTAATGCCATAATTAATTTACCTCTTAGCACAGCCAACATGTACATTACGCGGATAGACTGGAATTTTCTTGAAACACACCTGGAAAACCTAGAAAAGTCAGGGAATTTCATTCTCCTGTTTGAGTGGCAACCCTGTATGAGAGAAATGAATGACACTTGTTAGGGAAAAAAAAAAAAAATATCAAACATTTTTATTTCTACATGTGCCATGAACAGAGTGTGGTTCTTGTTTTGACATGCACAGCCAACAGAAAAATGAGCAATACCATCAATACTTTAAAACAGCATTGCAGAAACCCCTATTAAAACTGAACTATCAATCTCTTCATAAATGAAAAATGATCAGTATACAAACTGGTTCAAGATACTGTTCAAACATTGGAGAGGATGTACGAATTTGGGAGTTATGGATGGGACACCCAATGTAATATTTTGTGCGTGTAAATTTTCAAAATATACAAAATTAAAGCACTTTATAATAGAAACTGCACAATTAAAAGAATAAGAGTAAACCCATACTTTGGTTTTACCTTATATACTGATTATCTTTTGAAAAAAGCTTTCAGTTATGGTGTATCACAGTCTAGAGAGAATAGATCTTATATGCCTGCCACCTAGGCCAACTATATAGAATTCCACAAAGGCAAAAACAATCCCCAAATGATCCTAATTTGAAGTGCATAAGGGGAAAAAAATCCTCTAGAATGGCCTGATTTGAAATGCTTAAATTACGGATTTTTTTCTGAAAGAAAAAATTATATATATTTCTGATTTGCTGAATGCAAAATTTACATATTTCAAATATGACAGTTCTAGGGAGATGTTAATTTTATAGAAATCATCAAAAAAGCAAGCTTCTTTAGTATTACCCACATTGCAATCGTTCTTGTATATAAAGATTTTTACCTGCTTGGTTTACATAGCTCTTTCTGGTCACTCTTGGGCTAATTATTATATTAGTTTTGTAAAGATCTTGATTATTTTGCCATTTTCACCCTCGTAGATTTCATTTGATTGAGAAGAATCGGATTCCATTATAAATTATTGGAAAGAGTCCCACAAGTAAGCTAAAAATGTATATTTATGATATAAACAATCAGATTTGCTGGGTAGACATTATTAAAGGGAAAGTTGGCTTTCTTTTAGCTCTGAAGACAAACTGAATACAAGATCAGCCACAGATATTATTCATAAAAGTTGCTGTAATTGCAGTGGTAATACAGTTTTTAACAAGGATTTTTCCTGTGAGAAAATGGAAATTACTTTCCATGGTATGGGTTTTAACAAATAGCCTGGTTTGGATGGAATTTGTGGTCACATGCTGGCTAATTTGAACCCTTGGGGAAAACTGTCTTCTTGATATGTTTGACACTTCTTGGAACATGGGACAGCTTCCTGGAGACTGCAAGTATGCCCTTATCATCCCTATGAGAAAACAGGAAAAATTGGCTAATGATATAGACAGTTACAAGTCTTGACTAGTATTTCATGCAAGATTATGAAGAAGATTGTCCTGAGTCTTATTATCTTGATCAAAACAACTTGCTTTTTCCTGAAGAGTATGGTTTTAGAAGGAACATTGCACAATGGATCAGGTTTTATTTTTTAGTCAAAAGGTTAGGGTTGCTCAGAATCATAGTCCCACAAACGACACTGTAATTGCCCATCTTGATTTATCCAAGGCCTTCGGCAGGGTTTGGGAAAACAAACTTCTTTGTAAACTATATAGCAATTTTAATATCAGGAAAATCAATATCATGCCTTGTTGAATTTTTAATGGCCAGGTATATTAGAGTGAAGCTTAGAGACAGCATTTCTGGAAGACTCAGACTAAGCCAGGGTATTCCCCAGGGATCTTCGCTTAGCCCCACACTGTTCTCCCATTTTATTTCTGGAATTAAGGCTGGGAGTAATTTCAAGTATGGGTTTGATGTATGGGTTTGTATGCTGATGATATAATTATCTGTAGCAGCAATTCTAAGTCTCACATCTGCTCAGGAAGATATTAAGTCGTAGATCTTGAGAATTTTGCAGTGGAATACTAGATCATTTTCAGTCCCTCAAAATCTGTTTCCTGTATTTTTACCACCAATATACATCTGTACAATCTAGAACCTGACATCTTTCTTCGAGATAGGAGAATGAATTGTGAAAAATATCCAAATACTTGGGGTATATTTTGGATCAGGAGATTCTCAGCTAGGATGATATTGACAATTTGGTTTCAAGAGGTAAACAGAGACTCAAAATTTTAAAATACATATCTTGTAGAGACTGGGGTGCGGATACTTGGACCATGAGAAGCACATGCATTGTTACCTATCCATGAATATGGTGTCCAGGTGTATTAGGCCATTTCTATGAGCAACCTAGATAAACTACAGAATTTACTGTGACATTTAGTGGTAAAATTTTCTTTAGGATTGAACTTTGATCTTATACTAGCAAAGGTGCGCATCACTCTGATTTTCGTAGACAGCTGGCCTTGGAGGTTATTCACAAAATTCTCATTGGTGCATTACAGATTTATACTGATGATAGCAGGGGTGATGGCACTATCTCGAGTAGCAGAATATTTATTACTCAGGGGAATGAAATTAGGATTTGTAGGAGAAACCCTGACTACTGCTTCTTGTTTTGGGCAGAACTCATTGCTGTTGTGAAGGCTTTGAGTTATTGTGTCAATGTGGGAGTCAATATTTTTTTTAATGGTTGGCACTAGCCATTTCTAGGCTTTTGCCACTACTAAGGCTGGAAACAAAGAGGTCATTTTATTATGGAGGCACCTAATAGATGGCCATCATTATCTCCTGTGAAGGGATAGACAGTTTACATCTATGCCTTCTCTGGGATTTGAACCCGTGCCCATTGGTACAGCAGTAGGCTTCCCTAGTGACTATACTCTCTGGGCAGCAGTGGGAGTCAATACTGACATCTGGATTCTGAACAATCACCAGAGCTGTATCACTTTGCTGAGTACACTTTGTGTTGCTTGTACAGAGTTGCTCACTTTGCTTTGTACACACTTTGCTGAGTGGTGGAAACATGGAGACAAAACTACCGTGAATATTGCCCAGCATTTGGGTTGCTTGTGTGCCCATAATAAGATATTTTTTCAATGGGTGCTTTCATATGTGAAGGTTTGGTGTGATGAGATAGCAGATGGACTGGCCAGAGAGGGCAATCTTCACAGGTCAAGTCAGAAATCAAATCCTCTTGGAGAAAGGCTCTCATACATGAATGGTATGTTAGTAACCACACCATTACTGCTCTAACTGAGGCAAGCAATAAATTGAAAAAACAACTTTAGATAGCTGCACACTGGTCATCTGCACGCTTTAGGTTTTGTTTCGACATTAATTTAAGGCCGGGAAATTGCGTACAGAAGGTTGCCTTCCACATTCATTATGCATGAAAATCTCTGCTAGCTTTTATTGTATCTGATTTCAGTTTGGATGAATATTGGAAGAAATGGAATCAAGGTACAAAATGAAAGAGTCATTTTTTAATTAAAATCAAGAAAATATCACTTATTCATGACATTTTGAGGAACTTTGAAATTTCAAGACTAAACCCGTAACGCTCAGAGGGTTAAAGACTATCCCCTGAAATGCAACTTGACCCGAGGCAATTCTGTCCGTATCTTTTCTTGAACTAGTCGCCAGAGGAGCTAACTACTCTTCTGTCCTGGAGTTATTCTTTGGGATTTTGAAGTCTGCAGGTTCACGGATCTGATCTGATATTCCTGTCGATCGCTACAAATAAACACAATCAGCCCATGGGAATAGAGATCACAGACTAAGGAACAAGGTAGGGGGCTCTGACTACAAAGTAAAAATGGGTCATGTGAATGTGCACATGCCTCTTTTAACAGCTTTTGTAAATTATGACCTCCTGTTTCACCCTATAGGCATTTCATTCAGAACCTAATTTTTACACAATTTGTGTAAGCTTAGTATAGTGATGCATTCCCACCATTAATCTTAATTTTGCACAAAATGTTACATAATTCCTTTTTACATATACTGATTCAATTAAGGTTTTGGTTTGCAAAATTTAACATTATTATTAAGTAAAATATATTTTTACCAATATATAAGTATATTATGAATATAACAATCATATTGCCAAGATTAATTTTGAGATGACACATTTCAGGAAAATTTATTATAAGCATGTTATTATTTTTAGAATGAAAAGAGGAAATAACCAAATTAAAATAAGAATTATATATTACATATTTTTGTATAGATAGATAGTATAGATCTATATGCATTTTTGTATTAATTTACTTTATTTCAGTTTGTTTTCTAAGCTTTTGTTTTCGAATTTTTTTTTTTTTTTAAATTTGTGCCTTCTTGTTTAGATAGTGTACCTCTCTTTATATTAATTTTATATTTTATCAGTTTCTTTTATATATATATATATTGTGAAATTTAAAGTTGAAATTTGTGAAAAAAAATGGAAGAAAATTATCAAAGGATTTACTAATATCTTATTTGCTGTTTTACGTTTGAGATTTTCTATTTACCAGATTCCGTCATTGGAAACTCATGGTTATTTTACAGTTTATCTGCATAAATATATTTCCCTTAACACTTGAAATCTAATGTAATTAAAGTACCTTATTCTAATAAATTTTGATTTGATTTTATCTTTTCAATTCTAAATTAAAAGAAATGTGTATATTATTAATCATTTTTATTTTATTAATTGTAAATGGTGTTTAAAAGAACATTTAATTTTTATTATTTAGAAAATGTAAACTTGGTTATTGAATGGGCTCAAAATCATGAATTCTGGCATTTTTTCAAAAACAATTTGCTGTTGAATATAATTCCATGTTTAACAGATTATACTGATGAGGTAATATTTTACTTTTTATATTTTGTGTACTGTTCCTTTTGTTTATTATTTTATAAATGTTTTTGGTACGGCTGTATCTTTTATATGCATTGCTATTGTTTCATTAAATCTTTTTTCTCACTTTACTGTCAGATTCGAGCATTAGCTGCTGATCTTCTATTGGAATATTCCATTTGGTCTACTATTTCTGATCAAAACATTTACTTTAGCAGCAAATATCTTTTGAATTATGCTCATACATTGTGTAATCATCCTGATTACAGAAACAATGATGGTGGTGCTCACCTTTACTCTATACTATTTGTAAAGTAAGATTTTTTTTTTTTTTTTGCTTAGGTATTTGTAAATTTCTTTCTCTAATTATTAAAATTTGAGTCCAATGTGAAACATATTACCTAAAAATAACTTAAGTAGCTGTTTGATTATTGCGAATAACTATTTAGAAGACTGAAATAATTTTATTTTAAATAATTATTTGTTTTTGGATAACTATTCCTGCTCTTATTCAGTAAGTGAAACTAATTTAAAATCAAGTTAATTTAAATTTGTAATTGCTTTTGTCACCTTTTTCTGGCTATTTTGCAACCAGCTTTCAAATTATTAATATATGCATCATATATTACTGGTGCATGAACTTGTTTCAGAATTCAACTTATGTCTAAAAAATGTTGTGTTATGGTTCAAGGTATTTTTCAAATTCTAACTTTCAAGGTTCTAATTTTAAAGGAACTCGGAAGACATGTCGGACTTGTACTTATTTTTAAGATACAGACACACATATATTTTTATAAATAAGTGCAAATCACTGTAGAATCCTCAGTATATGAATCTAAAGAAGATTATTAAATATCAAACATAATTATTTGAAGAAAATATCAAACATTTCTTTCTGTGGCATCATACACACAGTTCAATTTGAAAGTTCCAAATTCCACATTAGGAGTCAAAACACAAAAAAGAACTATGAGCGTGACATGTGGAGAAGAGTCTGCAGGAAGGAAACAAATATCAATATAAACAAATTTCTATATTACAAACTAGTTGCTCAAACTTGAAATGATACAAGTTAATAGATTAACTACAAATTATCAAATGCAAAGTAAACAAATCACAACATGAAAATTTTTTAAATGGAATTACAGTAATACGAAACACAAATACATTAATAAGAAAGGAATTATTAATCAAATTCTCTGAATTCAATGATTTGACACACACAAAAAAGTACAATGTTTTGCTATTGTTTATCAATCACTTCTAGCAGGTGCAAAATTTGAATAGTTTTTCTATATAATCCTTTATACATTTTGCCAACACATGCACATATGTGCCCATCTCTTCCAAGTAACAGTTCTTGAATGATTGCTAAATCTCACAGAAATTTGGACTTTGATGATCCTTCAATCAATACTTCTTCTATCTTTAAATCTATAGATGTTCTAGGAGTCTTCAAATGATGCATATAGTCTTTAAGTCTGGCAAATACTGTTCTTCCACTTTTTCCAAAGTCGTTGAAGTAACTCTCTCTCTCTGTTACATTTTTCTTCATATCAGAGAAACTCCAAAAAGCTTTTTTTATTTATTTTGATGAAATATAAAGGATATTTAAAGTCCTTTTTGTCCAAAATCAGGAGGGTTGAATGATATCAGCTTTTGGGGTTCATTTATATCATTAAGATACATCAAAAGTCTCTTATTCAAAACCATTTTTATTCCTGCTGCAATTGTTGTTAGTACTTCAAAAGTGAGGAATACTCGTCCAAGTATTTTCCTCATCAAAACATAGAGATTTTACGAGATGCTCATAGAAACCTTCTCAAAATGAGGCTCGTTTAATTATTCTAAATTTCCAAATAATACTTTGAGTGGTAATGAAATCATGAAATTTAGAATCTTTCAACATCAGATTTCCATGGTAATTTATATGGATGGATCAAAGTCCGACAATCAAGTTGGATCAGCATTTGTGCGCTCTGATACTACGAAAAGCTTTAGGCTACCTGAAACCTATTTTGTTTTTTCTTCAGAAATATTTGCCATCTATAATGCTCAGATATATATTTCTAGACAACACTGCAAGAAATACATCATCTATATGGATTGCAAAAGTGCCCTAATGTCGATGGAAACCTTCTATAATAATGACAACCCTTTAGTTTGAGAAGTACCTAAGCTAGATCAAAGTTTGAAGGATCAGGATTACAGCATCATTTACTGCTGGGTACCTGGACACATTGGAATCAAGGGGAATGAATTAGCAGATATTGCAGCTAAATTGCCTGTTGAAAGTATCCACCCGTCTATTCCCTTTAGAGATATTCAGAAGGTCACCAAAAGCAGAATGTTAGATAAATGGCAGAAGTTATGGGGAGACTCAAGTGAACAATAAATTGAGACATGTAAAAGCCAGGTGCAGTGTTGGGAATTGAATAGAAATCATAAGGAGGAAGTGCTATTGACTCGCCTTTGTATCGGTCATTCAAGAATAACTCATCAGTATTTACTGAATGGAGGAAATGAACCTATATGCAGTTCATGCAATTCTCTTTTATCCATTGAACATATTTTAATTAATTGTCCTCTTTTTAATCCTCGTAGGTTACAGTTTTTTCATAAAACAAATCTGACATTGATGAATTTAATTGGAGAACAACCCCATTTTAATACAGGTTTTTAAAAGCAATAAAAATGTATTATAGCATTTAAATTTTAACTATGTCTGGTCTTTTAACATAAACCAGCTTTAGACAAGTGTTTTCTACACAGAGAGTAGTTTTAAACATAGCTTTCAAATTTCAACCATTGCTGCCCTTTTATTTCATACCTTCATTTTTTCTTATACTCAATTATGTCACACAATTACACTGTAATTTTGCATAGAAGTACTTTTGTGTGATTCTGGCGATTGTTTCCGTACTTCCACATTTGCATATATAACCCTACACTTGGTGCATCATAACCGCTGAGTTATGCGCCAAAACTCAACACTAACCAAAGTAATTTAACTTCTTAATGATTATTTTAATATTCAATACTACTTTTGAAACCCAGTAACGTTTTGCAGTCTAATGAATTAGAAGTTCCTGTTTCAGGTCCAGCCCTTAAATTTTCCAGTTGCCAAAATTTTTTTAACTTCTTCAAAAATCAGGGTTTTTTTTTTTTTTTTTTTTTTTCAGTAATTGCTTCCATTGTAAGGAAATCAAAAGATGCAATGTCACCTTTGCCCAACAAGCACTACCTAAATAAAAGTTTCAGTTGCAACGAGTTCCTTGTTAATATATTTAACCTCTCCTGTAACAAATGAATAATAGTAATCAGCCCCTTACAGTGTTAAGAATTACAGTTTTATCATTTTGATATTCCTTGTAAGAGTTGGATAATTTTAACCTTTCAGTATTAATTTTATTTGATAAATTTGCATTTGGAGATGATGTATGTGCAGATGAAATATTTTCAATTTCTAGCAACTCAACTTCCCTAAAGAGATGAGGGTCATCATTGTTTTTCTATCTAATTTTTATGACATTAAAAGTATCAGAACTTTACTGCCAAAAGAATATACCAAAAAGACTTTCAAAGTGGTTTGAGATTTAATTTTTTTAAATATCTTTAAAGATAAAACTACACGTCGAACCACTTGTAAGGATCTTAAGTTTTACTAACGTTTATTTTATTTTAAATCTTTACTATCACTTCTTATTTTCTACTTCCGGCCAGAATTATAAGCGTGAAGGAGTTTATGCAAAGTTGTCTGGCGAACGCCAAGTATTTAAGTGTGGCCTTTTTGCCAAGCAGAAGAGAGGAAGCCGTGAGTTCGAAGCAGGCCGCTTACCTTAGAAGTTACGCAGTTGCTACTTTGCCTTCCAGGCCAGAGGTTTTAATCCTCTTGATAAATTAAACGTATTGTAGTGTTCACAATCTCTGTGCTACATACGCTTCCTGCTATTATAAGGCCAATCTTCCACGTGTATTATTCTAAAGTTAAATTAGAGTTTAGTTTTATTTTGATATCTTTTACGTTAGACCCCGAGTGGAGGGTCATTGTATTCCGAAGTACGGAAGTCATTGTATATAAAGAAAAATAAAGGGTTTTGTATACCCTTCGTCTGTATCCTGTCTACTTACTACAATTAGTGAACATAGCTTTAGTAAGCTCTCTGTTCTAGTCAGGTCATTGTATGTTTCCGAAGAAGGTAGAAGAAACATTGAACCTGATAGTGGCGCCCGACGAAGAATAACCATGGCCGAGTTTCAAGAAGAACCTGTGCTGCCTGCAGAAACGGCTCAGAATCCAGAAATGCCAGCTGCCGCCCTGGAAGGATTTGGGTACATCGTCCAGACCATGCGCGCTTCGATGAAACCAGAAGCAACGTTTAATGGAAACTCACAGGTAACCAGTTTTTTGGAAAAATTGGATGACCACTTCATGCTCTACCCCGTGCACGAGTTTCAAAAAGTTACCTTAGCTACCAGCGCTTTGAGGGGCCAAGCGCTTAACTGGTTCAAATGTATCGGCAGAAGTCTCTTGGGTCAAGCAGGAAGTCCCACCTATACTTACGAAAATTTCAAGACTGCCCTACTAAAAGCCTTCCCTGTTTGGTAAGGGATCGTGCGAAATTAGAAACAGAACTTTTCAGTATATATCAACAAAGAATGGAAAACCTCTCGAGCTTTATTTTAAGAAAAATTCACGTTTTCAATCTCTTGTATGGAAACCGTCCGGATCCTGAAATAATTCAAGTGATTTTGCCGAGGTTACTACCCCTAGTGCAAGACTTTATTGAATTACGAAATCCGACTACACTGGAAAAGTTATTTGAGCTAGCAATCCAGTTTGAAAGTAGAAGAACGGCGGACGTCGAAAGAAGACGCCAATATCAACAGCGAAACCAATTTGGTACGCCAAGACTACAGCAAACTCAAGCACATGGCTACGGAGAAAAAGCGAATCAGTGGGCAAGGAAACCCGAGCATTCAAAAACAGCCGGCGAACGTCGACAGTTCAATAGCAACCCAGGAAAAAAGTCTCAAGGCCAGTGGAGAAAGAAGGAAAGCACCGAAAGGAAAAATAATTTAAACTAAAACGGATTTCTGCTGACGAGAGGGTGCGGAAATCCGAAGGCCACGAAAACCCCTCTTCCTACAAGTTAAATACAGTAATGGTGAAAAATTTAACTCTTCCGAAGATTGAAGTCTTGGTAAATAATATCCCGGCCACCGCACTCCTGGATACCGGCGCGCAGTGTTCCTGTGTGGCAGAAGTCTTTTTTAGAAAGTATTTTCGCAAATACCGCATATATAATGCGGATAATA